TGTTGGACTGTCCTCTCCTCTGTAAACTCAGAGACCTCCTTGCCCTCCCCATTACACATTCTGGCTAAACTTGATAAAAAAAATACTGTAAAACCAATGTGTCCTGCATTTGAGTCCAATTATCATGAACATAATTTCTCTCTTTTTAGTTAATAGATCAGATTGTGTGCTTTATAACATGTTTCCTTTATTTGCCTTTTCTTTCTGTGGTCATGTTAAAAAGCAGAGTGTAGTATATTGTTAGAGAATTGAGCCTGTCCACAGTAAAATAGTCACTTCTTTAAACTTAGTCCAAAATGGTGAGAAGAACCTTAACCTCACCTCAGAGTCTGGCCTTAAACAACATTCAGTGTTCTGTTCTTCTTTCTGCTTTGTCCTCTCTTGTTTTCATCCATGTTTCTAGAGTTACATTTATTTATACTTTGTGTCGGCTCAGTGATTTATTTTTCTGTCTGCAGGTAGAAAAATCATTGACGTTTGCAGATGACACAGATGCTGTTATGTTTTCAGTGACTGAATGGAGATCATTGCAGTTTTCTTTGTTCTTTTTCCACAGATCAGACCACGAGCAGACTGCACTCCAACAACCCCGTCCACACTACATTTGACTGGTACTCACACTGCCCTTGAACATAAACTAAACAACATGTTGATTCCACCATGTTAGAAGATTTATAGAACTATCATATCATCCCCTTTATGCCTCCGTACTTAAGTAAGTACTTAAGTAAGTAAGTACTCATTCACCCCTCTTTCTGTCATGGTATAAAAAGCTCAGGTTTGCACAGACACACATACTACGTCTGAAAAGAAGATCCAAGGTAAAGTGTTGGGTCGGGTAGTGAGACTATGCTTAATGGTTATTTGTGACATGACAGTATTGCTGTAATTTCCAGAGAAATTGATGGCGGAAGGAAGAAGATCTTGCACAGTTCATTTTGCACTTGCATTAGAGCATGAAGCAAAGGTGGAGAGTCAGAAGACTGAAACTGACCAGTTGAAACAACAGCAGTTTTTTTTAATCATACGCACTGGACTCTAAACTAAAAAGTGATTATTAAATGTGAAAAAATGTAAAATTGCTGTACTGCATGGTAATTGGTTTGTTTCAGTGTCATGGAGCTGCAGATGTTTTAGAACATAAATCCTGAAAAATGCAACCAAAACCACCCCCAAAAAATTATATATATATATATATATATAATTTTTTAGGGGTGCAACGATACACAAAATTCACGGTTCGGTTCGGTTCGATACTTTGGTGTCACGGTTCGATATTTTTTCGATACAAAAAATGTTCATGCATTTTTTATTTGTCATTTATTAAAATTATAAATATATATTTTAACTCAAAAGTACAGTTTTTAAATTTAACCCTAACCCTTGTGCGTGTTTTTTATTTTGACAGCGAATGCGCACCTGCGGACCACTTATGTGCAGCCCTGGTTATTTAGCTCGTCATATTGCAGCCACAGAAATTATTTGTCCATGAAACCATAAAGCTGCACTTTCTTTTTGCCTTATAGTCTGATTTGTCATAACTTCTCCGTTTTGTGGTAAGCTTTTCTTTGGCTGTCACTTCTTCACCCTGACCTGTCTTATTTGGCTCAGCAGAACTAAATATATATCCTGCTGCTTTTACACACGCACTCACATAAGCTCAGCGATTCTCTGCGCGATCAACCTCTCACATGTTTAAGCTTGCTGCAGGAGATTTCACTTGTCATGTTTGCATAGTAAGCTAACGATTAATAAGACGATGTCAGAGGAATTGGTGCACAAATTATCATCACTCACAGATCAGTGCTGTCGCTCTCTATACACAGTTCGCACGATTGCAAAGTGAAAGCAAAAAAACAAGCGCAAATTCAAACGCGACTTCAATATGTCACATATTGACAGTGGCTCACCGATGCCAATGACATAATTACCCAGCTACATTTCTGAAAGAATGCAAAAGCATTGACATATATTTTTCCTACAATAGCCCGACGGGCAGGGAAGAGATAGATTTTGGTAGCCCGACTGAAAAAATCGCTAGCTCCGGGACGTCGGGCTAGCGATATTGCAAGCCCTGTATCTGATTGAGGAATCACTCATCTTTGGAAAAGAGAGTTTATTACAGAGAAATGGCTCTTTCCAAAATAAAAGCTATACTATCCGCTTCTTCTGGGCTATATTCTCAGCAGCATAAGGAGAATCATGTGCTAACAGCTGTCTAAATGACTCGGCTAAAGTTAGTAGCATGCTTGTTGTTTTTGTCTGCTTCCACTTGTCTTTGCACTAGGATGATGTCGGCGTAAATGTGCAGTCATATTCGTTGTGTTCCCACTAGTGCTTTCAGGTTAATCTCGTTGAAATGACCTTAACGCCACAACACGGCAAATCTCCGTTAACGAGCTACCGCCGATCGCCCCGTGCATGGGGCTAGACGGCCAACACGTTAACGAGCTAACTGCGCTAACACACTAGTTCCCACCCATGTAATTGAGCATTGCATGGCACATCCAACATACTGTTTTACTTTAGTCCATGACTCGCTTACCTTCAGGGTCATACGTCACATTAAAACCAAAATAATTCCAAACGCCAGATCTGAATGAGGTTCAATTTGCCTGTTGCAAGTAGAGCTTAACTTCTGTCTTGCTAGCTTGCCCTGCGCTCTTCCTTCTGACGATGCTGTCTGTGTTGAGCGCTCAGTGGATCTGCGCTCGACAGTGCAGCCTAGGCGGAGTAGTCGAACGCAGATTCACTGAGCGCTCAACACAGACAGCATCGTCAGAAGGAAAATTGATAAAATAAATTACAAATGTTGTATTGTTTGATACATATGCGTACCGAACCGAAAGCACTGTATCGAACGGTTCAATATCGATACGAATATCGTTGCACCCCTAATATATATATATATTAGGGGTGCAACGATACACAAAATTCACGGTTCGGTTCGATACTTTGGTGTCACGGTTCGATATTTTTTCGATACAAAAAAATGTTCATGCCTTTTTAATTTGTCATTTATTAAAATTATAAATATATATTTTAACTCAAACGTGCAGTTTTTAGATTTAATGTTGCTGAAACAACAAAGGGATAAAATAAATCTATCTGATCAAGAAATCACTCATCTTTGGAAAAGAGAGTTTATTACAGAGAAATGTCTCTTTCCAAAATAAAAGCTATACTATCCGCTTCTTCTGGGCTATATTCTCAGCAGCATATTAAACATATCAGGTCCCCATAAGGAGAATCATGTGCTAACGGCTGTCTAAATGACTCGGGTAAAGTTTGCAGCATGCGTGCTTGTTGTTTTTGTCTGCTTCCACTTGTCTTTGCACTAGGATGATGTCGGCGTCAATGTGCAGTCATATTCGTTGTGTTCTCACTAGTGCTGTCAGCGTTAATCTCGTTGAAATGACGTTAACGCCACAACACGGCAAATCTCCGTTAACGAGCTACAGCGGATCGCCCCGTGCGTGGGGCTGGACGGCGTCAACACGTTAACAAGCAAACTGCGCTTCACCTCTTCAGTTCTGAAAGCTGATGGAGAGTCTCGGGTGTTTAACTCCCAGTGAGGTTGTGATGCTGGCGGAGGTCCTGAGAGTGGATGACCCACCCTGCTGTCAACTGAGTTACTGAGGTCACATGGGTCAATGTGTGAGGGGGGGGTGAATGGCCCGGAAGTGATCCCAGGACTATGTTATAGGTAGCCAACACTTTTTCCATGTTTGAACTTAATGTGACCACTAGAGGGAGGTATGTGCCTCTTAGTGCCATAAGCCAGCTGTGCAGCAGGCAGGTTGTTTGGCTTCATTTTTGCACAATGGGAGGAGGCGCTGTCGCGTCGTCCATGTTTTCTACAGTCATTGATTTGGACACAGCCAATGTGTTTAGTTTTACTCTTCCCCATGTGATGTCATTATGTCCATTTGTGTCAGCTTTTTTCCCAGGTGCCTCCACTTCCCCATCACCTCATATGTGTATGTAAGTCTTCTGTCTCCCTTTGTTCATTGTTGCTTCGTCTGTGTTCCCACCCCCATGTCCTCATAGTCACAGAGTCATAGTGTGTGTCATAGTGCCCTCATATTATCACAGTATGTCATAGTTGTTCATAGGTTTCTTAGTTCTCCTGTCACCAGCCAAATAAAGGCTCGCTTTTGGTTTCAAGTTCCATCTCTCTGCCTATGTCTGTTCGTGGGTCGTCTACATACACTCCACAACCGAGACAGGAGAGGAACCTGATAACAGCTGAACGTTCTTTTGTTCACACGGAAAATAGGTGTGAAAGGCAAAATTATAAATTGTTTCTAAAAATAATTAAATAAAGCTGTTTTATTAAATGAATATATACATAATGCAAATGTGCTCATAAATGAGTTGACTCTGTGTTTTCAGAGTTAACAGATTCATTCAGCGATATTGTCTGGATCTGAAATATTGCAGGTACACGCAGAGTGCAGAGGATTTTTACACATACACTGATAATTGTTTTCTATAAGTCTCTGGGTCAGGAAGTCCAAACATGACGTCCTGAACTGGGCCTTAGAATAAGCTGAAGGATAACATTAGATAATCAAGGCAGGATGTGTTTTTGTGTCCATGTGTTTCTGATTCCAGGAGGAGCAGATACCAGGTGAGGTCGGATGTGGACGGGGAGGATTCGCAGCAGACTGCCACGTTGGATTTGGGAGAAGATAATAATATTTTGTCATTGTCAAAGTATAAAAGCTGTACAGCCCATTTCAGGGTTAGGGTTGGGGTCAAAGTGAAACTACAAACATTCAGAATAACAATGAGTTCAAAGTGTGAGGAGGTCTGATGTTCCAACAGTGTTCAGGCTGAGAATTATTACCTGCAATGCTCCAGTTTGACCTCATGGTGGCAGTGCTGTCTCACTGTTATAATGGCTACACTCAGACTACAGGAGAGAACAAGAGGCTGTACTAAAACTCTGATGTTTTATCGTGTGTTTATGACATCATGCTGACGTCAGCCTGATAATACCTGTTGATTCAACTAAACAGCCAAGGTTTCCAAGGTTCTTAAATGAACCACAAACTACAGGGTAAGAGTGAGCTGCTGAAAGTCAGATCTGTTCTTCAAAGCAGACTTTCAGCTTTATTACAAACTAAGAGTCGGATCAGCACAAATACTGACACAGAGATGGCTGCTGGCACTGCGCTGCTCTGCTGCACTTTGCTGTTTGTCCTTGTCTTCGTCTCTGCAGGTGAGATTGAACTAAACTGAGGTTCTCTCTGAGATAACAAGAAGTACAGGAGGATTATTTTCATCTGGATTCAGTTTGTCTGTGTGTGAAGGAGACACCAGGCTGGGTGGACACTTAACATCAGTAATCCAGCTGTGACAGAGACAAAGAAGTGTAATGTGTGTGTCAGTGTGATGTGTTGTAGTGTCAGGAGTCAGGATGCAGCTACAAAGCTTCTTGTTCAGTGTATACAAACAGCTGTAGCTCCATAAAGGCAGCATGCAGAGACTCACAGCGTCTTATAATGAGAGGCTGCTTTCTCTCACACATTATGTTCACTTATTATCAGCACATGTTGTTGTTCTGTGGAAGCTAACATCTTGTAGTTTCTGACACTTTGCATGTTTAGCATGAGGCTAAAATTCCCCCTCAGTGGGTCACTGGTGACCTGCTGGATGTTCAGAGGTTCATTAAATCCAACATGACTAAAAACTCAAATGTCAAAGTGCTGTTTCCTCTTTCAGAGCAGAAAACCATCACAGCTGAGTCTGGACAGGACGTCACTCTGACATGTCGAGCTCCAAACAACAACATTAGAGTAATAAAGTGGGAGAGATTTGACCTGGGAGATGATTATGTGCTTTTGTACCAGGATGGTCTCCCTGATTCAACACACCAGCATCCATCTTTTAAGAACCGGGTGGATCTGCAGGACAGACAGATGAAGGATGGAGACGTGTCTTTGATTCTGAAGGATGTGACAGTTCATGACGCTGGAGCATACGAGTGTCGTTTCTTCATGGAAGAAACTCGCTCATGGAAGTCCATCAGCAGCCTCAACCTGATTGTTACAGGTGAGTGAGTAGAGTTGAGTGTGTGTGTGATCAGAGGTGAAGCTGCTTCCTGGTTGCTGATGTGTGTTTGTTGTATGGATGAGCTGGTGGATGTCAGAGGTAGACAGATGTTTCTCCAGCTGTTGTCTTTGTGGCTGGTAGTCTAGAGTTGTAGAGCAGCATTGTTTGGTTAGAGCAGAAACAAAGACATTTATGAATCCGTCTCTTCTTCTCTTGCTCTCTAACTCGTCTGTAAACATGTGTGGGGAAACTCAATGTTAAAGCCTACAGCTGGAGGGGGAGGGGAGGGGTGAAGCTGGTGGTGAGTCTGTGAAAGTGAATCACAGTCAACTACAGCCCCTTAAATTGCCTTATTACACAATGCTGAGAAAGCATTCGAACGGGTGGAGTGGGATTATCTGTTTTATACTCTAAATAAATTTGGATTTGGCCCTAATTTCATTTCATGGATTCAGTTACTTGACTCCTCACCTATGGCACGTGTTAGAACAAATTTGTTATTCTCTTCTTATTTCCCACTTCTCCGTGGTACGAGACAAGGATGTCCCTTATCCCCTTTTCTTTTGCGTTATCAATTGAACCATTGGCGATTAAACTGCGAGCTGACAGTTGCATTAAGGGCATCTTCAGAGCTGACCAGGAGCACAAAATATCCGTATATGCTGACGATCTCCTGCTGTATATGTCAGAGCCTTTATAACACTGAATAAGCATATCCCTGCATTTATTTGGAATGCAAAAGTCCATGAATTCGTAAAGATTTCATGCAGAGGACTAGGCCAATGGGTGGATTAGCCTTGCCAATTTTTCAGTCTTATTATTGGGCAGCAAATATTCGAAATATGCTGGATCAGTAATTTTACCACAGAGACTCCAGCTTGGCTCCAAATTGACTCATCCAATTGTGGCAAAATGTGCCTATCAGCTTTGTTGAGTTTAGCTCTCCCATTAGAACTGTACACCTATAAATGTAACCCTTTGTTGTATGACTCGCTCAGAATCTGGGTGCAATGTAAGGTTTGGGTTACACTATCAGCTCAAATCATATGTTCCCACCCTCAATGATGGATTCTGCCTTTAAAATATGGGAAGGTAATGGACTTAGAAATATCAAAGACCTTTTTGCAGATGGAATTTTTCTCATTCACGCAGCTCCTGAAGCAGTTTAATGTTCCTCGCAAACATTTTTTCCGCTATTTACAAGTTCACCACTTTGTAAAGAGTCGATTTCCTTCATTTCCAGAAGTACCTGAGGAAACTTCTTTGGATAAAATTATTAATATAAACACTCATAAGAGAGGGGCGATTAAAGAAATGTATGCTATATTATTAGATCTTCAATCTCCTTCTCTCTCCATCCTTAAAGCTCAGTGGGAGAAAGACCTTGGGATGACTTTAACAGATGAACTCTATGTTTTCTCCATAGGGTACACTCTTCTTCTATATGTGCCAGACATGGGCTGACCCCCTGTGTAACAGATGTAAAGCAGAAACAGGTTCACTCCTTCATAGTTTTTGGCCCCAATCTTCATAACTATTGGGTGTCTACCCATACGGAAAAGATGCATATAAATCTTATAAAGTTTGTATCTGTCTTGTGTGAAGCTTGTATGAAAAGCATACAAGAGTGAAAACAGATTAAGATCCCTTGAAAATCATATAAATGAAACTTGTATGTTTTGGATATTTACTAAAACAATATAAGAAAGTAATGAGAAAGTGGCCACTTTCATGAGTAAATCATATAAGCCTTATATGATTGACTGAAGTAGGCCACATCTTATGCAAGTCTTATAAGTTTTTTCTATTTCTTTTCCATATGGGTATATTTAACACCTTTTCAGAGATATATAACGTTAATTATGATCCCTCTGCTCTAATCTTTGGGGTGATACCTCAAAACATCACTTTACCAAAATACTATTCAAATTCTTTGCTTCACTCATTGCAAGGCGCCTTATACTTTTAAGATGGAAGCAGGAAGCTCCTCCCACACATGAACAGAGGCTTGCAGAGCTCATGAAGTTTTTGCATTTAGAAAAGATGAGATATACACTGGTAGGTTCAACCACCAAATTTCTTGAGGCATGGCAGCCTTTTCTAATGTACATGGAAACATTTAAAATGACCACATTGTCATGACCAGATACCATCCATCCATTTTATTTTTGTTGTTGTTGTTTGTTTTTTGTTTTGTAGGGGTTTCTTTAGTTTATTTGTTTATTTTCTTTCTGTTTTCTTTTGGGGTATTGTAAAAACTGAACAGCAAACTACTGTATGTTCAAAGTTTTGCTATTAACATGCTGCTGTAACTGAAAATAAAATGAAAAAATAAATAAAACTCAAATGTCAAAGGAAATAAACAAAATATTTAAAGTCAACCATTCTGATCATAATTGCACTTTGACCTTTAACCTCTCTGCTCTGTGTTGTTTCATCTTTCAGATCAGAAAACCATCACAGCTGAGTCTGGACAGGATGTAATTCTGCCATGTCGAGCTCCAAACAACAACATCTTCGCTCTAGAGTGGGAGAGAGCTGACCTGAAGTCAGGAAATGTTCTTTTCCGAGTTGGTTGTGATATTATTCTAGACGACCAGCATCCATCTTTTAAGAACCGGGTGGATCTGCAGGACAAAGAGATGAAGGATGGAGACGTGTCTTTGATTCTGAAGGATGTGACGATTAATGACGCTGGAACATACGAGTGTCGTTTCCTCATGGTAGAAGCACGCTCATTCAAACACAGCTTCATCAAACTGGTTGTTGTTTGTCCAGGTGAGTGAGTAGAGTTGAGTGTGTGTGATCAGAGGTGAAGCTGCTTCCTGGTTGCTGATGTGTGTTTGTTGTATGGATGAGCTGGTGGATGTCAGAGGTAGACAGATGTTTCTCCAGCTGTTGTCTTTGTGGCTGGTAGTCTAGAGTTGTAGAGCAGCATTGTTTGGTTAGAGCAGAAACAAAGACATTTATGTCTCTTCTTCTCTTGCTCTCTAACTCGTCTGTAAACATGTGTGGGGAAACTCAATGTTAAAGCCTACATCTGGAGGGGGAGGGGAGGGGTGGAGCTGGTGGTTGTGAGTCTGTGAAAGTGAATCCTGCCGCTGCCATAGCTGGTGAAAACGTACTTAGTGCAGACACAAAACGTCCATCAGCTTCAACTGTGTGTCAGAAAAATGTCCACATGGTGACTGATGGATGAGAGAGGTCCCATTGTTGTTGTTGTGAACAAATCATTGAACAACACAAACACTTAGAGCTGCTTTCAGTGCTGCCTGTTTTGTTACTGCACACATTTCTGATGGTCCTACAGTCCAACGTAGCAAACGTCTCCCTGAAGCCTCTTCTTAGAGACCAAAGGTTGGATCAGAGCGAGCAGCTGAAAGGACACATCTATGAATGCAGTCAGAGACTTTCTCACAACCTCACACTTCATCTGGTCACATTTACACTCAGGTTCTCTGTTAGTCACTGAGATTACAGACTCGCACATTTAAAATAATCTGAATGTTGGATCAGATGAAGTTAATATTTTTTATTTCTTGAACATATGTTTAATTAGCATGTTGCTAAAGCTTTAAGTAATGCACTGGTGACCTGGTGTATGTTAACAGGTCAATTAATCAAATCCAGAATAACTCAAATGTAAGCTAAACAGCATAAATATTAAACATAAACAACATCATATTTCCCCCATGGCACAGTCCACTCAGCACTTCCTGGAGTTTCTCATTTGATCGTTCATCGACACTCATGACTTACAGAGACTCTGATCATCAAACACAGGAATAAAACAAGCAGTGAGCACAACAAAGGATTATTAAAGAAGGAATATTAACTCTATTCTAACTCTAGTAACTCTACACCAGGAAACCACCAAATCTTCTGCAAACGTGATTTTAACCAGTCAAAATGTTTTTGGATATTTATTCAGTGTAGAAACCTAAAAAGTCAGTTTTATTTTTAGATGTTTGGTTGTTTTGAACAATTATATCAAACTGTAAGTATGATGTTTGGTATATAGTATTATATATTGCATGGTATTGATATATTGCACTGTTTGAAGTGCTTCGTATATAAAAGTAGTAAACTGTGTACACAGTGTTTGGTGTGACAGAGCTGTTGTCACTGAATCACAGGTTCAGATGTTTCAGCCTCATAATAAACAAACACGTTTTCAGAGAGTCGAGGATTTGACCTTCCAAAAGTCTCAGACATGTTTTAATGAGCTCTCACAGTCTGCAGCCAAACAGGTCAAATTATAAAGAACAGCTGGATCAACCCAACATGACCTCTGACCCCGAAGCAGCTGTTAGACCTGTGTATTTGAAAAAAAAAAATATGATTTTTTTATGGTGAAAGCAAGATTCCAGACTGCAGTTTTGGTCAGATCATGTTTTTAAATAAAAAGCAGAAAAATCAACATTAACATTTTCTCACTCTATAAATGTTATGAATGATTTTTTCATCTAATCTCCTGAACTAGAAGAGGACACCTCACAGCTGTTTCTCACCTGCAGGTCAGCCAGGAGGAGACAGAGATGAACTGTGAGTCGGACGATCTGAGGACAGACAGAAACTCTCCTGAACATCCAGCAGTCGACTCTGATGATCATCATGTTCAGACTCGGACCAACAGTGTGTGTCTGTGCTGTCAGTGACTCTGAACTACAGTTTATTCATCTTGTTCATGAGATTTACTGACACAAAGTCAAACTGTGTTACAAACACACATGAATTTCTGATCTCAGAGTCAGTGAGTGTTGGAGCTTCAGGTTAGACAAATTAACTATTTTATGTTGGTGTGATTGTTTATTAGCTTCATGTGACTTTTTCTTCTTTAAGTACAGTCCACTGGAAAACACTTTGTATAAAAATCATCTCTTTGGCTGACATTGTTTTTAGTTTGTAAACCAATCTTACCCAATTTAACAGATTGTACAAACTGTTAACGTCTCTCTCTGATCCTGCACTGAGAAGTTTGACAACCTCTTCAACTTTTCTTTAACATGACACACTGTTCAGCTCAGATTTAACCTGCTTTGACCTTTGACACCAGCAAAACATCCTGAACAACTTTGCTGGGTTGAGACCTGATTACTTTTCATAAACAGACCCATAAGACTCAAAAATATGAAACATATTTTCACATTTTATACTGTTGTATAGATGATGCAAACCTTTGTACACTGATGCTCTTTTGGGTGAAGTTTGACTCATTTGTTTAGATGGATTTTCAGATCCACCAGTTTGGCTCAAGTTAGAAACATTGTGATTTTAGGGAAAATTGCCACTCATAATGTATAAATATACACATCATGTTTGTGTGGATTTGTAATGAGACAGCAGTGTCGGAGGTCACAGTCATCCTGTTGCCCACAGAAACAGACTCCTCCTGTGAATTAGTAAAGTAACACATGGAGCGCATGAGGAACAAAGGTCATACATGTATCTCCTGAAGTGGATTCTGGGTATCTGACTTCCTCCCACAGTACAAAAACATAAACGGCTGTTTCTCATTTAGCTGTGTGTGAATGTGTGGTTCATATAGAACTTTATGGTCGGTAACAATAACATATGAACATGAGTGCATCACATCAGCACATGAAAGAACAACAGTGTGGCATTAATATTACAGCAGTGAGGACAGTGTGATGAACTGATGCTCTGATCTCTGGTCTGACCAAAGCTTTAACTCCAAACATCTCTCCACTGTTAGAGCTTCTGCACTGTTTCAGGTTCAAATCATGGTTCATGGCCTGATGGTGTGATGCCTCCACCTACATCACTGAACTGCTCCACTTCTGTACTCTTCTCTCTGTGGCCTTCTTGAAACGTCCTCTTGGTGTTTGTGGGGTTTTTCTCAGTTCATGTGTGCCTTATAAGAGTTTGTTTTTTAAAGACAATGACAATCAGTGAATTCCTTCTGTGATTGAATGAAATATGAGCACTATGTAAGTGTGTAAGTGTTAATAAAGATTTACATCTACCTGTTGAATTCTCTTTTCATTGTTTTTGTCCCTCCAATAACAGACAAACCTCTGTTTCTGAAGTGCCTTAGAGCAACGTCTTCCTCTGTAACTGAATGCTGTGGGTAAACATGTCTTTACTTCTGTGCCTGAAAACAACATCTCCCTGTAGAAAGTGAAGGCTGAGCTCACTCAGATCACTCAGTCAGATCAACTGAGCTTAGAAATAAACTGATTTGTTGATTTTACAATGCTGTGATTGCAGCTATTCCACAACTCTCTCTGTTAATGGTGCACATGGCCACTGATTAAATGGTCATTGATCAATGATCATTATTCTTTCGGATAGCGATTGAGATTGTGGATAGAAGTGGCAGAAATGGGCTTCCTCCAAAGAGTGGTTGGCCTCTGCCTTAGAGATAGGGTGAGCAGTTTGGCTATTGGGGTGGCTCAGGGTAGAGCTGCTGCTCCGTCACATCGAAAGAAACCAGTTGAGGT